AATATTACACCTTCAGTAGATATTAATGATATTAAATGATTTTTTAAAGTGATAATAAATTTTGAACTAATTATTTTTTTTTCGTACAAATGGAAGATTCTCTAAAATAGACAATTTGCTAATTAGAACGTCGATTTTTGACTTGAGTAAATTTTCCTTGTCTCAAGACTTTATTCTCTTGACTCAAGGAAATCATTATCTTCAAAATAGGATTCTTGGTTCAAGATTTTGGCTCTTTAGTCCAGTTCATTTTTTAATCAGTGAATAATTTAATTTAGTGAGGCATTTATGATAGTAAAATCTTCCTAATTTTTTCTGCAATTGAAAAAATTCAAATATAAAAAAAAAATACCCATTAAAATCCAACGCTCCACAAGCGTAATTGAAAAACCCAAAACCATAATAAATTCTTCAGAATTTATTAAAAAAAAAAGATTTTTTTTGTCAGAAAGCCACAATGACACCAGGCAATATATAAGTACAATATGAACGTTCATCTCACGGTATAAATCATGAAATCTTTCATGAGATGATGGCACGTACACGGTTTTAACCATGGGTTCACTCGCTCGGAAGGAGAATAATAAAATTTGGCCCCGCCATGAGAGGGGCGTCAACTGCGTACTACGTGTGGTTGCACTCGATGAATTTTTCGAGGGTGGATCCTATAAATGCAACAGCAGTAGCAGCAGAAACATAAGCAGCTCCTAGCCCTAAAACCCGTACCAGGGATTTTGACCTCCTGACAAAACCTACCATCGCCTCTACGCACCCCAAGGCTGATGGTTGATGGTTTATGGGTGCACGTGAATTCACCGAGTTGAATAAAGCTCGAGACTGAGATGTCAGATGTGGATGGGAGGAAAAAACTGAGAACAGAGACAGAAAACACCCGATAAGGACGACAAAAGGATACGAACCGTGAGCCTTCATAGGGTTTGCTACAACGCGCCCTAACCCACTGGTATCCAAGGTTTACGTCACCAACTTCGCTGTCGAACTTTACCCCTAGAAATCTACTACGCTCTCTTCCTCTTTCTCTTCCTCTTCAATATATTCTATCTCGTATATGTATATTTGAATTTATGTAAGTATTGGTACTATATACACTCGAGGGGAGCGTGCGATACGGAGGCTTTCCGATGGGGCGTGGGCAACCAATCTCCTAGAGGTTCGTTTCACCTCTTAACACAAGATTTATCAAGGAAATCTCGATTTCTCTTGGGCTTGTTTGTTTATTTTTTTTTTTTTGTTAAAATTGTTTTTAATGAAAGATTGGATTATTGTATACATTAGTGACTATAAGTTAGTAAAAAAATTTTTTTTACAATTTTTAAGACATTTTGAATTATATATTTTATATATATATTTCTCATATTTGTGAAATATATTAAATATATCAAAATTATTGTGGGTATTCAAATGAAAGGTATCGATACGTGTAATTCCAGGATGAGCTTATATCTTAAAAAATGTCAATAATTAAGAAATCATATTGTATTTTGTCAAGGTATGATATTTTTAAAGATATAAGCTCATCCTGGAGTTACACTTATCGAGACCTTTCATTTGAATACCCACACGATTTTTTTCATATATTTTATACATAAGATATTTCTCATATTTGTGAAATATATAAAATAGCTCATCCTGGAGTTACACTTATCGAGACCTTTCATTTGAATACCCCACGATTTTTTTTCATATATTTTATACATAAGATATTTCTCATATTTGTGAAATATATAAAATATATCAAAAATTCATGTGGGTATTCAAATGAAAGGTCTCGATAAGTGTAACTCCAGGATGAGCTTATATCGTAAAAAATATCAGTGGACAAAATACATCATTTTTTAATTAATTTTTTACTAAAAAAAATCCATCCAAGTGAAAAAGTCTCGAATCACGTAAAATTTATTTACACCAACAAAATTTTCTTAGTTTAAAAACTTTTCTGCTTTATTAAAAAAAAATGTTAATTTTTTCTCTCATAATTACCACAATTTTCTCTAGTTTACAATAAAATATTTATTTTCCCACCAAGATTTAAAAATTGCAGCATAAATTCAATTCCATACCAATTTGTCATACTTTTGAAGTATTATTTGACAGTATATATTTTCGTAAATAATACCAAATGAAAGAATTCTCTACAAGTATTGAAATAAGTAGCCATAAAAGCTTCAATAAAAACACAACGTCAAATTTATAAAAATGATAACAATAAAAGTTTACGGTAGTTTAAAAAATTTATTGGTCAAAATTTCTTTTAGTTACCGTAGAAACCACTTAAATTTCTGACAGATAGAGCGATCGGGAGATGGATCACGCGACTGTGTTCGTGTTCTGATTCTTGTGTCCTGATCGATCATCCAGTGACATGACACTTGCCCCTTTTCTGAGACACACAATAATTCGTGGGGACAACAAACATTTTACGGAAAATTTTTTATTGACACAAATTGCCCGTATTCATGCATACTAAATATTTTATTCTCCAACAAACTCAATGAATACTTCTATTATTTTTCTCATAAAAAAAAAAAAAAAAACAATGTTCTGGATAGAGTAAAAAAAAATAATAAAGAGAGCAAATTATTCTCGACAGCCAATTCATTTTATTGAAACTTTTTTTATAAAAAACAACCACGTGCAAATATTTTTTTAATGAAAAAATTAATCAATCTCGTGTTAGAAATCTGTATTATTTTTATAAAAAATTTTTCCTTTTTTTTTTGAAGATTAATCATGGCAATAGTTAAAAAAAAAAAGATAATATAAGACATTAGCATAAAAAATATGAAGAAATTTTTGGTTGGGAAAAAAATGAATCAACATATAATATGCATCTTTATATTTGTATATCTTGAAGAATGTTTATGTATAAAATATAAAATATTATATAAAGCGAGTGTATAGATGAAAAGGCGTAGATTTTCCGTCGGAAAACCCGCGGGCACTTTAGAGACACAATACAATGCAAAAGAGCAGTAGTATAGAGTGAATGGAGAATGGAGCCCCGTGTCATGTGCCGTGTATGGGGATCGGTTGCACGAAAAGGTTTTCTGCAGGGGCTTGTATACTCAATGCGGGGGTGGAGTCCCTAGTCCTGTTGATTTATTGTAACACTTGGAGCGAAACTACCCTCCTGCAATCGAACAATTCTACCCGTCTAAGTTTCATTTCGTTTCATCTTTTAACAGTCCATGCTTTCTCCCTTCAATATATATGTATATGTAATATAATGTCTATGAGAAAATAGAGTCCACTCGATTCTATTGATAGATCTAAGTGTCCCTTTGTTCAAGCTGTACTGCCTCCTCCTGGGGTCAATCCGATTTACAGTTTTTAGATTAATCCAAAATGAACGTTAGTTTCAAATTGTTTTATATTTTCAGCTTCCGTTATTGTAATTAGCTATTTTTTATGTTGAAATTGAAGGATAATATTTATTTTATTTATTAAACAAAGTTGGTTTTGATTAATTAACATTTAGGGTTATTAATCAATCAAAAAGTTCCTTTTAAAACAATATTTTTTTTTTATTTTTCTGAAGTAATTATTTTTAAAAAAATTATTTGAATTTATAAATTAATAAAAAAGATAATTTTATCCAAGAGAAAAATTCTTAAACATAAAAATCATCTTGAAAAATTAAATTCTTGAAAATTACATTCTTAGTTTTAAATTTCTATTTTGAATTAAGTTAGTTTTTTTTTGGTGCATAAATTTGTTAAATAAATCATTGAATGTGTATTAATTTCTTGAAAAAAGAATATTAATCTACACTGTTATTGAAATGAGTAAGAAAACTATTAAATAGTTTTATAAAAGTCACTTGAATGATTTAAAAATCATTTTAATCACAGATTCTCAAAAATATTTGAATTTTGGACATATTTTCTTGATAGTATTTTTATTTTTTAATTTCTATCTTAAAATTCCATTTTATAGTAAATATTAATCATTCTAACCAAAAATGAATGACTTAAAAATTTATAAACATCATTTTGTTGTGAATTGGAAAAAAACTGAAATTTCAAACTCAAAAAAAAACATATAATTATTTATTTTTTGATACAGTTCACTTGCAGTTTAATAAATAGTGATATGATCAGGATCACGGGTAATTGAAAAAAATAATGTTAATCAATTTAAACAATTATTGATTTGCAACGTTTCGTCTTTATTCTTAAGACTTTGTCAATAAGCTCTGGAAAAATAATATATCAAAAAAAGATCGTGTATGTACTTGTTTCAATTTGACGACTATTTAGACATTGTCGAGGTTAGTCATTGGAATATTAATATTGTATATTTGTCATGTTTATTAAATTCAAAAATATTTTGTTAATTGTATTATTTTTCCAGAGCTTGATAAAATCTTAAAAATAAAGAGACGAAACGTTGCAACTTGCAAATCAATGATTGTTTAAATTGATTAACATTATTTTTTCCAATTACCCGTGATCCTGATAATATTAACAATTATTTTTAGCATTTAATCAAAAATTATTTATATTAAAACAATTTATCTTGTTTTTTAAAAAGTAAAAATATGTTTTTTGTTCACAATCTGGATTATTATAATACACACCAAACATAGACCTAATTTTTCGTTATGTAAATATTATCCACCACAAAATAACAAAAACAAGTTTGTATTCCCCCTTGAAACCACAATCGATGCTCCTTCAAAAAGCGGCGTATGCCTACAGCAGGCCTTTTTTTGATGACGCACCCCGACCCTAAGTCATCAACCACAGTAGGTCTGTAGACGCCCCAATCAGAGTGCAGGGGTGGGCACGCATCCCCTTCCAAAAGTTCCGGCCTTTTTGGTGGCTATATAACCAGCCCTATAAAGCCCTTAGGTAAACAGTAGCACGCCGGTGTTGAGAGTGAACGTGTCAGCTCCGTGAGTGAAAAAGAACCCTCACCAAAAACACCCAACAAAGTAACAAAGTGTGTATTCAATATATAACAATCCAAACTAAAAAATGTGCAGTGTAAAAGCAAGTTTCTTCCGTCCTTGGGACAGTGTTGACTCGGAATCTCTCTCCAAATTCGACGACGCGGATTTGAGTGCCAACATAAAAAGTGAATACGAGGAAGAAAACAAAAGTGTTTCTTCGCGGAGTGACGATTCGCCAAACGGCAGCTTGGACATGTTATCGAACTTTGTGTTCAACTCTTCAAGGGATTTGACCACCTTTGAAGGATCAATCGAGCGAACTGACCGGACTAATTCGCCTTGTGACTCCTGTCCTTCAATAGCGTCACCCAATTCCGCGTTTACGCCTACATATACGCCAATCTCCATGGATTACTTGTCAGGACTAGGAGCTGGACAGTTCATGTCCTATGACACTGTTAACCTTCTTCAGTCACCGATTTACTATCCTGGTCACTATCCTTCAGTGGAAGAAGCTGTCAGATTGATTCATCAGCAAGATATCGCCGCTAAACAAATGAAGAAACTCAGGCCAAAGAAATTTCGCTGTGAACATTGCAATGTTGCTTTTAGCAACAATGGCCAGCTTCGAGGACATGTCAGGATCCATACTGGTTAGTTTCTTGATCAACAAATCGAACCTTTCAAAAAAATATAGAATAGATTAGTTTGAAAATTAAGAAATTGATCAATTAGCAGGTTACTAACTCCTTTTTTTTCTAATTTAGGTGAAAGACCCTTCGAATGCGACTCATGCGGCAAAAAATTCACGAGAAACGAAGAACTGACACGCCATAAAAGAATTCACACTGGGCTGAGGCCTCACGCATGTGTAATCTGCGGAAAACGGTTTGGTAGAAAAGATCATCTCAAAAAACACACCAGGACTCACGATAACCGCGGACCATTCACCCTTCCTCACATAGGAGCTTTTGGACATCCCTCTTTGTTGTCGCCTTACTTCTACTCACCTTAACCTCCATTTAAGGACAAACCTCATCTGCAATATGTAAATTGTTAAGTATTAGTCTATTGATCTGAAAATTAAATTATTTTATGGTGTATGTAAATGTGTAAAAACAAAACCGGAGTTTTTGCCTTTCGATATTTATCAAATCAGGGATAAATTATAGTATTTTTGATAAACATTTAATGTCTATGTTTATTGAGGCAATTTTTAATTGTATATAGTTGTAAATATGTGTACAGAAAGAAAAAGTTTTAATGAAAGTTCGATTATTCGAACTAAAATATCATGTATTTTTTAAACTAATAAAGAATTTATATATGTAACTTTGGATTCATGTGATTTTAATTTTGTGGCTTGATGAATTTTAAGTTATTCTTTCACAAGATATGAATATTTTGGTTTTTAATATAAATAATATTAATTAAATCATTTAATGTATAATAAAATAGTGACGGATGGTCTTATAATTCAGTAATAGGCAAGGATAATTTATTACCGGCGGAAATGTAGAAAAACCGCGACTGGGGATAAAAGACAGAGAGCAGGATGATGGATAAAACGGATGCTTCCCGCAGCCACCATTTTCCTCTCGATTAAATCAAACATGGCGACGGTTTCCTACTCTCTTGATATCCTTCAATCGACCAGCCCTTAAACTACTACCAGATGAGGGTATCGTGGTTTCCCCTCTTCAATTATGCGACACACGCTTAGGGGTGCGTTTTCGCATTACATACACAGCTAACCCCAATCTATGGGAATTGCTGTAGTATCTACTATACTATATAATAGTATAGTATAGAAACTGGTAAAAAGAGAGAAAGGGCGATATATTATATCCCCTATCAGCCTTTTTTACTCAGGGGAGATTTTTTCGAGGGCTTGCTTATGAATGTTATGGTCGATTTTGCGGTGGGCCGTGCGCGGGGTGTTTCTAAAAAGGGATTCTAACAGAATATATTTAACGTATTCATGAGTTAGATAAAATAAAAATTTTGAATATTCTTTGCTAGTACTTTGAAAAACTTGATAAATAAAAGGGTTTACTTTTACAGAAGTGTTAAAAATTTGTGAACACAAAACACAGATCCATCAACATTAAATTCGATGATGTATGCAAACATAAAAAAATTCTCACACTCATGATCGTATACAGTAGCCCTGGGGTTTTGAGATCCTGCTGAGGTATTCGTCGAGTCTAACAATTCTTGCTGACACCCTCCTACTGGTCGACAGATATACGACTTATAACAACATACAACTTAGACCTGGATACTCTGTCTCGCTTGAACGGAATTCTTTTCATCTTATTCTTCCCTATTCGCACCGACTGTCATGGACCTGATACATCTTAGTATGCCGTAAACGATCGTTTACTCGGGGGATTACCGGCGTAAACCGTCGCTAAGCTTAGATTAGATCTAAGTCATCGACTTCGAAGTTATTAGTAAGTTTGCTAAATATTTTGATCGATTCTCCATTAAGGAAACCTTGTTACAAGGTTAATCAAAAAATTAGAGTTTTTTCTTTAGATTCAATTGGATTATCTACTTTTATCATAACAGTATTATTGATGAATAGAAAAAAGTACCGAAGATTTTGAGTATAGATTAAAACGAGCCAAAGTATGGCAAAGTATAACGGGAATGTTATAATGATTGCACATTGAAAGTTACAATGAATATTAGCTAGAATAATTACATGGATAAAAGGTGCATGCCAATTCGATAGAATTGGGAATCTGTGCAAGTCAAAACAATACTCTAATTAAATTTCAAGTCTAGATCTAAAAATGCAATTCTATAAAACGCCCAGCGGAGCGGGCGAGTAACAGCTAGTGACTAATATGATCGAATTGAATGGACCAAAACAAAGGAAATCGTCCAAAAGTACGATTTTAAATCGTAGAAATTTCATCCACAAGTCTTTATTTTAGTTTTTCTTTTTTTTTATGTTGTATGAGATGTCTGCCAAAAAGATTCCCAATTTTTTACAGTCAAATCGATCGAAACTAGTACAATTATTATCGAGGGGTCAACATTTGTAAACTCAAATCGAAAATATGCTATTTATTTATTTATAAAAAGGCCGAAATAATTTTATAGCTTGTTTTCTCTAAATACTTGAAAAAAGAATACACATATAACTTTAGTCATCCTTAATACGAAAAGGCCTTGAATAGAAAACGGAAAAACTCCTGGCGTGCGTTCATTATTAACGATCGTCAATCTTGGATCTATAGATCCGCGGCGGGACTCCGTCTTTTTGATCCAGTGTACTTTCATAAGTTTCGGCTCAAAGAAAACTACATTATATTATATATGATACACAAAGATTTCTTTAATAAATACATCTATGATATTACATCAATTCCCCAGAGCCTGACGATGCGCTAAATACTTTTCATCTAGCAGCAGTTAACAGTTATGACAGCACTGAAATTGTATCAGGGGCTAAAATGTGTAACAATGGTGACGGACAATTTTTAGCCCACCTGGACTAGGATGAGCGTGCAGTTAGTATTTACTGTTTGGTATTTAGTCACTTTATGGTATTGATATTAAAAAATGAAATGTCTTCATATAATTCTGAATTATAAATATACTTATGACGAATGAAGGATTCCAAAAATCACATCAAGATTCGATCTTCCGAAGACTTAGTGCAGATGAAAGTGATGATGAGAATCAAATGAAAGTAATAAATAACTTTTAAATTCAATGTTATACTAAATGGTATCATCAACAGTAGGAAGAAGAAACAGCGGGACGCCAAACGTGGACAATGGCGTGATCCAATTTTATAGTAGAAAGACCGATGAGTTTTCTGCTGGACAATGGGTAGCCTCTTTTCTATTTGGAGTTGTATATAGGCTCAGCGAAATGGTCATTTTGAATGACCGAGTCTTGGGATACAGATACCAGCTCGATATTTCTGATGTCTTTATAGCTGTTGAGTTGTCATTATGTTTACGGTAATTCATCCTGTATAAACTTTCAATAAAAGTACGGAAATAATATATTACACAATTTCATTCGACCCAAATGTTGATTGATTCATTTCATTGTTACTCTAATCGAATATTTCATACACGAAAAAAAGGATATCTTGGTTGAAGAAAATTTTAAGGAAAACGACGAATATTTTGATTCAAGTAAATTATTTTCTTGATATTCAACATCTTAATTCAAAGTTTTGATTAATTGAATAAATTAAATTTATTTTTCAACCAATATTGTTTTATTTCTCCAAGTTTCTTAGTACTATTTATTTAAATAAAATTTCTTGGGGTAAAAAAATCTTTTTCAGCCCAAATTCAAATTTTTGAAGGCCAAAGCATTCTTGATTCAAGTAAACCTTTTTTCTGTGTGAGTGTTTTACAAAATAATGACATCTAAACGTTTTTCCTTCAGATGCATTGATAAACCGGTTCACCGATCCAATTACCCCTAGGTCCGTAGTTGCAAACCAAATGTGTTCTGTACATAGAACGGTTAGTGAAATGCCGAGTAAGTCCGCAACCAATTTTTCTAGTACTACCCCATACAATAGCGGTGTAATGAGAATAAACTGGAGCTTCCTCCTCCTCCCCTTTGTAATTTTTGACCAAATTATTGGTAAAATTGGCAACTTCATCGTACCAATAATTTGTGATGATCACAGATAACTTGTCGAAAGATCTAGAGCTATTCCCAGTGTAACCAACATTCTGACCAACCCTGAAGCGCTCTAAAAAGATTAATCAATGTAATAGAATAATTGATGAATTTATTCGGAACTACTTTAAAATTGCTCACGGAATTTTTAAATGATAATAACTTACTAATAAGAATTATTATTAATAAGAAAAATTAATATCGCAAACTTACTGACATCGCGACATGGGTCGTGCTTAAATATACACTGATTAGCCCACGCTTGAGCTATTATAGCCAATCTTCTATCCCAACGAAGGTCCGGAATAATTCCACGTGGTTGCGGGCCTGGATTTCCGCGTGTTTCGAGTCCTGCAGCTACTTTGCGTCGTAACATGTTATGAGTTTCCAAAATTTCTCGCTTCTCTTCATCTGTTACGAAATTTGTAATTACTCTGTTGCATTCAGGCCCTCTTCGCCATTCCTAATCAGATAATTCCGTTGAAAAAGTGCTAATTACAATTTTTATATAATTCTATGCACTCAGATTGATAATTCGCAAATATTAATAAAATTCAAGTTAAAAATGAACAATATTTTTTAAAATAGACAATATTCGTAATATTCGTCATGTTAATTTACAATAAAAATATATCTATATTTTACCGACTCTGAAGAAGTCATGATTCATGACGAAATGTTGCTTGAAAAAAATTAAAATAAACTTAAAAAACTATTTTACTTTTTAACCTAAAGTTAACTAATATAATTTTTCTTTTGAGATTTTCAAAGCCCTTGGAATGAGAATAATTTTAATTCGATAAAATAACATCTTTAATAAATTTTTTCCTTACCCCATATTCACATAATGTATGTCTTTCACCTCGACATGAGTCGGGATAACAATATGTCCATTCTCCCCCTTCATTACATTTAATAATTGCAGCTAACCAAATCAGTAGAACAAACTTCATCGTACCAAACTTAATTATTCACTCAATTCGATTGTTGTTGAAAAATACTTATATACTTGCAAAATCATAATCAACCAGATAAGAACATACGATTTGTGTGAAAAAATTTTAAAAACAATGACTTACAAAGTTTCTTTTTGTCACGTTTTTCTTTATTTTTTTTATTAGAGAATTTAATCTCTTTTATTATCCAAGGTCATATCAACAAGGATTGAAGTATTACATAAAAGTATTTGATTTAGTTGATATAATATATGCATTGTAAATAGCTTAAGAATTATCCGTTTCGTTGTAATTGTCATTTTAAGATTTACCACGTATGCTGATAAAATTATATTTTTATTGCAAGTAAATACAAATTTAAAGTAACAATGTTATATTACTATTGACAGATAAATCTGGGTAATGATTGCATACGAAATAAATATTGTACCGTCCTTCGACTTCCAGGAATCTTGTGATACCGCAACCTATATACATTATCTTGTCCCAAATTATCATATGGTACACAGTAAAAAATTTTGCGTCATTGCGTCAAAAAATTTTTGTGTTAAATATTTAACACTTTTATGTGTACATTTAACATTTATTCTGTTAAATCAACACTAACAAAAAAGTGTTCAATATTTAATACAAAATTTTTTGACGCATTGACACAAAATTTTTTACTGTGTAGTTCACAGAAATTATGATAATTCTTCGCCGTTGAAATCAAAATCTAAATCGGTAGTATTTTGTTCAAAGTTTCGAATCTTTGCACATCTCTACTTTTAATTCGAAGATGCTCTATATTTATTTAGGTCATCAAAAGGTCCATAATGGTGATACTTAAGTCCAATATTATTTCAAATTTCTTATCGTATCTAGTAATTAACAATGACAAAAAAACTTTTCTACATAACTAGAACAGTATATCTAAAACAAGCTAATTACTTTAATAATTCTCATTTATCTGCACGGAAATAGCATGTGCACATAATATCAGTCGAACAATTCCGATAATTTATCAGAAAATTAAGTTATATTTAATATTATTTATTTTTATAGCATATTTTTTATTGTTCCGAAAGCTACCTACACTCAACTGGTTTGGGCTGATACTCAATTCGTAGGTTACGGTCTTGTCAAGTACATAGACCGTGCTAATGACTGGTATAACACTAGATTGATATGCAACTATGGACCAGGTGGAAATGTTTTGGGTCAACCTCTTTAACCAACTATTTAATTTCTAATTTATCAATTTCTTTATTTCGTTTTTGGTTTATTTGTTTTAATCTTTCATTAGGTCTTATGAAAATTATTCCTATTTACAATTTATATATTTTAAAAGTATGTTTGTCAATAATCACTGCAAAATAAAATAAAAACCTCGAAAATTATAACTAATTTGATTTTATTATTTGATTTGAAAAAAAAAAAAACAAATATTTTTATTGGTATCCATGATTATTACATTCAAATATTGAAAAATGGATGAAAAGAAGATTACGTAGTGTTTAATTGTTTGACAATATGTCATGTATACATTTAAAAGTAAATATTGAAATAGACGACATGAGTAAATACGGTCAATGACACTTACGATGAAGTTTACACAGCTGACTTGCTATTCCAATGATAATTTTGATCTAGAAAAAACTAATCAAAAGATCATTATCATTGACTTTCAAAATTTCCACAATTATCGTCAATTTTTACTCATATTCTTTCATTTTTTCAATTTATGTCGTTTTTGAAAACTAAAAATCATTTTTCAAACAATTAATTTCGAGTCTGTATCTTCAAATAAATATCACAAATCTTGACGAATTCCATTTATTATTATTTTTTTTTTCACATTAATTTCAAAATGAAGAATGGCACTTTTCTCTACAATCAATCCAAAAAAAATAATTCAAACTTATTCAGAAAATGAAGTTTTTTATTTAAATTCTTTTTACACAAAAAATGACAAAAATTTCTTATAAGACCAATAAAAATCTAAAATGATCAATAATTGCGATGATTTGAACTCTGAAAAATGAAACATTCTTTATCAAAATTATGTAGTTTCATAAACGGGCCAGCCAATGACATTTCCATGAGGTGCATAATCACACAAGAAGTACGTGTTGTACCAGTTGTCTTTATAGTATCTGAGAACTCCACAACCTAAATGAGTAGTAGCACCCCATATTAGCTGAGTGTAATGCCCAATTTGCGGATCATCTTGCCACACGAACGCTCCAACCCCAGAACCGTCAAAATTCACATGTTCACTGAACCACCCGTCAGTCATGTCAGTAAGGTTTTGGTACCCTGAACCATCTGCTCTCCACATCATATTTTGGCCAACGGAGAACCGATCTGCAAAATCAAATTGCAATGATTATAAATTCATTACATAAGCTAAGAACTTGAAATTAAATACGATCAATGTCCAAGATTTCTCACCAACATAACGACATTTATCATGCCCAATTTCGCACTGAAGAGCCCATCTTCGAGCAAGTTCAGCCAACTCTTCATCCCACTGCAAAGGTGGAATTATTCCAGCAGGTTGTCCTTCCACTTGGCCGTTTGCTACCCATGCTCTTCTATCGTTATGAGCTTTCAGGATTTCGTCTTTTTCTTCTTGAGTCAAAGTTGTTGATTCAACTTGTCCACAATTTGGCGAAGGGTCTGTCGACTGTAAAGTAATTCAAATGCTCAGAAATTTTATTAAGCATCAACAACAGAAAAATCAGCTTACTGAATACTTGCACCATGTATTTTGCTCACCGTTGCAGCCACTTGGATAGCATTCTTGAGCACTTGTTGAAAGTACAACGGTGAAAATGAGAAACACGTTAATTGTCATGATGTCGAATAGTATTTACAAACTTGCACTGCTTAGATAATTATTTGTACTATTTGTAACGAGGAAAAGTTGGTTCTTTCTAAGTTACCTGCGATAGCGGACGATAATAAAGTAATTTATTGCTCTAAATTGTGTATGACTAATGAGGAAAAAGCAATTTAATAGGTGAGTTATAAAAATAAAGAAAAAGTTATGAATTTATTGAGAACTATTTTTCATTTTTTAATTGTTTTGACCTACAAAGCAATTTATACCGATAAAATAATTTTTTTTGATAACCAATATTAAATAAAAAATTTAATAATGATTTCATTTTACGGTTCACAATAATTCAATCAATAAAATGAAAGAATTTTTCCTATAAGTTCCTTAAAAATAAATTAATTTAAAAATGTCAATTTTTGGATAGCAAAAAAATAAACCTTTTCAAGGTTTCATATCATTCTCACCAATAGTCAATTTATAATGATAAGTATATAGGTTGCATTGGAAAATGCTCTATCTCTAGATACATAATTAAGAAATGACCTTGTATCTTGTGAACTATTGACATTTTTAAAGATATAAGCTCATCCCGACTAGTTACTACTCGAGACCTTTCATTTGAGTACCCACATCAATTTTTCATATATTTATATATATATAT